CAGAGCGGGGTCGGCGGATATACACCTTTAAAGGGGCCAATTCTTCCCTGAAAGGAGACCAGAGAGAAGCTGCCCAGAGCGTGGTCCGAGCCAACCTGCTGCGTCAGCCACGAAGGGCGGAGCAGAAGCTTCCACCAAGTTGCCACAGGTGGTTTAGGGTCTAGGGTTTAGGGTTTTGGAGCGGGGAAGCTTCTACCAAGTTGCCACAGTCACAGGTAGGGAACTAAGCTTGGGGTTATATTGGGAAACGACTATTCAGGGTTGAAGGCGTAGGGTCTAGGAGTGGGGAACTTCGAAATTCCAATAAGATGTCGGGCACAAGGTCAAAGCAGCCCTGGGCCCCCATCACCCCCAAAAACCTTTAATTTTGTATTAAACCCTTCAGCATGAAACTCAGTAAAGCCTCCATCCCCTCCTGAAGCTCCCAACCCTGAGCCCTAACCATGCTTGGTGCGCTACTTGGAGGGACTCCGGAGTTGCGTGAAATCCCCGTCGTCAACCCACTATGAACCTACTGCAATCGCCTGTTTAATTTTAGGAGGTACCCTAACTTTCAGTAGCCCCAGGGTCCCACAAAGTGCAGGTCGTCCCGGCCAGAGGCTCACACAAAGCCTCTGAAGCGACAGCTGCCGCAATCTATTCGCAGTCCTTCAAACAGGTGGGCTTACCCTACTAAGGGTTGGTGGGATAATTTTCAAAAAAGGGGGGCGTACCTACTGATGGTTGGAGGGAATGGCCGACTGGATTGATGTGCCATCCCCTATGCCATCTGTATGTCCGAAAAGCCTTTAGGGGGTCAGGGGAGGGGAAGGAAGGAATATGGGACATATGTAGTCAGTTATGGAGCTTATACTGGGACCACTATGAGTGGAGGATTCTCGGAATTCCTTGAGCTCTCATCGCTTGTTTGGAGCTAGTGCAGACAGTGCCTTACGTACGGAGTTTCTGGGGCGGAAGGGCTGGAGTTGCGCACCTAAGCGTGCCCGTGCACAAAAGAACTTGACGCTAGTTCTCCGGTGACAGATGGAGAATGCTTTAGCAACTCAGCATGCGCAAGCTGTTTAGCGCATGTTTACCGAAGCCCAGCTTCACAGCACAGATATGTGCGAACTTCTGAAAATGATTCAGACTACACCTCGCTGCCCCGTGTAATCCCTTTTGTGTCTGTGGCCCTGCCCAGGGATACCATCACTTTGAGAACTCCCCTAAACGCCTAAACCGCAAACATGTGCCTAGCGACCTCGTGGGGCTGAACCCTTGCCATGATGAATGTGTGTGTGTGTGTATGTATGTATGTATGTATGTATGTATGTGTGTATACATATATGCGCACCTGTCTATTATATATATATATATACACAAGTATCCCTCCACACGGTTTTGTCCATATGGAAACTAAGAGGCCCGATAAAAATCTGTCCTCTGAAGGAGGCTCTGCGAGTTCCAATTTTTTTGGGGGGTTTAGGGTTTATAGGGGGGCATAGGGTTTCGGGTTTATAGGATTTAGGGTTTAGGGCCGCAATACTCGCAAGAAAGAGTCGCTTTGGCCAGGTATCTACGGATGCCGCAGACAAGCGCAGGTTGTACAGGTCGAGTCAGAGTCTACCTGCAATAAAAGTTGCTGGGCAATTACTGGAAAAGTTGTTTAGGCTGAAGCTCGGACCTTAGACCCTTACCCTTTTGGGATTCCCTTGTACTTCTATTACAGCTACCTAAGGGTTGACCCTTGGTGGGGCTCCTAAGTGCCACTCAGAAGAAGAGATTTACACAGGGCTGTGGGAGTCCTCTTCAAAATGATGGGTCGCCTTCGTGAGGTTATTGGTGAGTTTAAGTTCTTCTCAAAGGCAATGGCACCCCAGACTGTAAGCGGATAGATACAGAATTTTGCGAAAGCAATTCCACAGAAATATGGGCTCTCAGGATTTCCGTGAAAAACCAAACCCTGAACCGTAAAACCCAGGTCAAGCAACGGAGCCAGCCAGACCTGCCTTCGCGCAAGTGGCGTCCGCCGTGCTAGCTACTGCCCACTGGAGTGTAGGGTTCTGGGCCCAAGACCATGGGGAACACTTGCTCTAAATTCCCCAACAAGAGATTTCGATGTAGGGGGGCCTTGCATGCGAAGATCTTACATAATACAAGGATTTTGGTAGCACCAACCCCCAAAATAAGGACCCTCGAACCGTCATATGACAGTCACAGGGTCCTAATTTTGGGGGTTGGGTTACCAAAACCCTTTTGTTTTTACAGTTTACTTCGCGAAAGCTGGCACTGTGAGTTGCAAGCGTGAGGATGCCAAGGCTGCTTACAGCGTTTCACGAAGTCCGTTGCCGGAGCCAACCATTGCAAAGCAATGATGCCAGAAGAACATTTCATGGTCCATGTAGGAGGGGAATTCCAGCTCAGGTGCTCATGATAATAAGGGAATTCTGGTAATTCGGACCCCCAAGATATGAGGATTTTATGTTTATCATAATTTGATTGTTATAGGGTCCTGATTCAGGATTGGGGTTAAGACAAATCCCCTTATTACATCGGCACCACTGGTAGTTTCCCAAAATAGGGGGAACCCCCATATAGACCCTAATATACTATACTCTTTACTATAGGTTCCCCAAAAAGGACCCCTAATTCGGGAAACGTGGCAGCCCCGTGGAAGCCCAACGAAACCCTCATGAAAGTCTCTGATCTGTTGACCTGTATTTCATATAGGGGTAGGATAGTCCAAGAATGTCAAAGATGAGAAAAGACAAAGCTTGAGCTTTTTTGGATGTAGCATGTCATAAAATTGCGTACTGGGGCTCATCCAACAACAAAGACTATTCAGGTGAGATCCAAGGTGAACTGTAAGCCCAAAACCCTGAATCCAAGAAGCTGTGCGGTGCGATGCGCATGTTCCAATCCCGTACATTGGTTTCCAACAAGTTCGAATACGATTTCGGAGGTGCCAATTATAACCATTGTTGTAGCTTAGGGTTTATATTATCGCGTTCCACCCCTCATGGAAACTACCAAATAATCCCTATACAGCCTTATGTATTTCTATATATATATATATCTACATGCATCATTCTCCGCTTCATGTTCCACATGATTCTCCATTGTCCCTGAACCCTGAACCCTAAACCCTGTATGGTACCCCATGCAAGGGTCCCCGCATGTACGGAAACTACCATTTTGTCGTGACATGCGGGCATTTCCAGCTCCATTGCAGCAGCCTCGGCCGGCCTTCGGTGGCGCCATGGCGGACTCTGGGCCTTCACCATTGACAGCCTTTGCCGAGGCTTGAAGGATAGAAACCAGGTACAGTAATATATATATATATACATGTAGCCATATAGCCCCTAAACTAGATCAGTGTCAGGGATCCTTTAAAGGGGGATATAGGGGTTATATAGGGATGTTATAGGTATAGGTTTTAGGGATCCTTTATATACGGTAATTGCCCTTAGGATGACCCCCCACCCTGTAATATTGATATGGTGGGAATTTTGTAGGACCTGAGTAAAATCCTCATTATCCTTTATAGCCACTATTACAGGGTGACCGGTCCACCCTTGCATATGGGGTTAATAGCGCCTTAACAAGCGTATCAGAGTCCTTTGTGGTACCCATTTCGAGGGGGATTAACCCAATGATTCAAGCTTCTACATCCATCTTCTCCCCTTAGCCTCACCATAAGCTGCCCATTATGGATTTATCATAGAATGTGGTGGATTATTATCAGCAGGGAGCGGGGCTGCTCCAACATAGGAGGCAGAGCTTAATAGCATTCGCCAATATTGCGCTTAAGTAGCCTTCGAGGCCTTGCGAATCATCCGAAAAAGAATGTTATTACGACTCACCAAGGGTCTGCTTTAGAAGCAGAAGCTTTGTAGAGTAGGCTTAGAGATGTTGAGGAGTAGCATGTAGTAGCATTAGGTCATTAGGATAAGTGGCCGATGTAGCTTAGAGATTGTTAGCAGGTCGCGGTTGAGGGCCCCAATAGTACGATTGGATTCATGCTGTCCCGGGTTAGACAAGCACGCGTTCTATTCGGATTCAAAACCGAAGCCACAAGCCCCAAAAGCCCAAGCCTTATCACCTGGCATGCAAGAATGTTGTTTGCACCTTAATTACACCCTCCCAAACGATACCCTGAACCCTGGATACATCTGTATATCTATATATGTACGTATGTGTAGGCACAGCGGTACAGGAGAGAGAGGGAGGGAGAGAGGGAGATAGAGAGAGAGAGCGCGGGAGAGAGAGAGAGACAGAGAGAGAGCGAGAGAGAGAGAGAGAAAGAGAGAGAGAGAGAGAGGGAGCAAGAGACGGACAGAGAGCGACAGAAAGGGAGAGAGAGAGAGATAGGGAGCGAGAGAGGGAGAGAGAGGGAGGTGATGCCAGGGAGCGGCAACTCGACTCTCTCATCTCCCAAATGAACCGAAGAGATGGAGAAAGAAAGGAAGTGTTGACTTTATGCTGCCTTGAACCTTTATCTTGCCTTGAATTTGTCCTCGTGTCATCTCCCTTCTCCTCGATTCGCGTAATGTTTCACGAAGGCTTCAGGGGGCCGCTGGCGCCTGAAGGCCTGCCGTCTTCCCTGCTAGCCTAAGCCAACGGAGAAAAAGAGAGAGGGAGAGAGAGCAAAGGACAGAGAGAGAGAGAGAGAGAGCGTTGCCCTGGCCCTCCTCCTGAGGGGAGGGTAGAGCAGTGAGAAGAAGCAGAAGAAGAAGGGAGAGGGAGCGCGCGAAAGAAAAAGTTCTTCCTAAACATGTTTGTGAAGAATATCAATTTCCACCGACACAACTTGGAGTTTCTCAAGCACACATTTCTGGAATGCTTAATCCGAGCTCCAATAACAAGGGCGCACCCCCTTAAAGTAATGTTCGAGGCCCATTCTTGTGGACCTCCTTCGGTTTTTTTATCTCTTCAGAAATCAGGAATTGTGGACCTCCCCGGTTTTCTATCTCTTCAGAAATCAGGAAAGACCCTCTCGGGAAAAGCTCCGTAAGGGGCAGCTCAAGAAGCAATGTTCGAGACTTCAAGTCCTAATAAAACTTAGTTTCAGAATGAGCTTTCCTATTCGCATTTCAGAGCAGGGAATTAGCGAGTCTCCCCAATGAAGCCTAAAAGCTTTTCAGGTGAGCTCTTAAATCTAAGAAATTAGAGTAGAATCTATGTAAACACATCTGCAAACCAATCAGAATCTGTTTCAACATTTGTGTTGTTTAGGGCCTGGAAATATGTGTTTTGGAATCTGGGGTTTGGCCCGAAAAGTGCTTCTGCCTTTGACTCCTAATATAAAGTCTGCCCGAGCTCCTCATGTTGACAAGTGCCATATGAAATTGTCATCCTTTTTGGAGCCCGAATTCTTGTACGACCCCGAATAACATTTGGGGTACCCAACGGTTGGAGGACCCCTATGATAAATTCTAGGGTACCCAAAAGCGAGAACACAATTTTTGACAACCCCCCCTCAGATTGAGACACGCTGTATGCCATCCAAACATCTATGGACCTGCCAGCAAAGCTGAACTAAACCCTAAACCCCATAAACCCTAAACCTCGAAGTAGCCGTGAGTTTGGAGTTCGACTGTTGTCTTGCTAATGTACTGGGAGAAATGGTGAAGTTGGGATGCTCTTCGAGCCGTCCTGCTGAGTTTTCTCCGACCCCCTCATTGCTGAACAGGACATCATTTGCCGTGCCTGCACTGCGCGATGCGCGTGTCTAAACCCTTAACCCTAAACACCTAAACGGGAAACCCCTTTAAACCCCAAAGCGCGTTGAGGCGATCGGTTCCAAGCTGCCGCCGCTCACCTTGCCCAAGGACTGGAACGCCTTAGAAGCTACCTTTGGGTATAGTCCCCCTTAAGTAGATAGAATATGGCTTTGGGTATATTAAAATAAGATCCCCATATTCCCCCTATTCTATCTACTTACGGGGGACGATAGGTGGGAATGAAGGGATGGAAAAGAAAATGCAAATTAGTTTAGGGTTTAGGGTCGGAATGAAGGAATGGAAAAGAACATGGAAACTGCTACAATGGGTTATATGGGGACTACTATAAGGACCCATTCCTTCCAGCTAACCAAAGGTACGAGAAGTCTGTATTCATTCCCTCCCCGAACAATCACCCCCCCCTCCCCCCATAATAAGATATTCACCAGAATTACGTACCGGTATTGTTTTGATGTATTGAATATTTCGGGGTGGGAGCACTGTATTGTTGGGGGAGGGGCGTATCAGGAGTATGATCCGCTCGCTCTTGCATGATCCTTGTAGAATTCTGGTGTGCTGCATTCCCCCGGCCCTGTTAAAGTTGTCCCCTATAGCCGACTATAGCCTTCGACGCTCCGACCCTGATAGGCTACTTACACAGGTTTCAGCTCGATAGGTTTGATCCAAAGCATGTCTGCTCATTGGTTCATTCAGAGCCCCAGGAAAGAATTCATGGCCAGGATTGAAACATTTATTTGCGGCGTTGGCTTAGCCGCTTTCCCTAATGCAAAGCACCACCCAACCCCGAACCTGAAGCATGTCCAGGGTCAAGGATTATTTCAACCGCTCCTGTCTAAATACGCAAGCCGAGCTGAAATGGCAGTTTTTCCAAATTGTCCTTGCGAAATGTTAAAGAAGATTACGCATAAACCACAGCCAGTATTTTGCAGTGTTTAAACTGCCCCCATATGGGCCATAGTCAAAACTCCCTACAGGAGGGGGTTATACAGGGGATGATATAGGGGGGTATTCTAGGGCTTGCTATAGGAGAAACTAGAAGTTTAGACTATAAAGCGGACCTCCTGACCACAGACCTATGGCCGCCGCTTACACCTTGGCGCTGCCCTGCATGCGAGTTCCGTCCTACCTTACCCCAAGCTTACATGGAACGTTGAAAAAGATGGATTGAAAAGGAGCTCTTGGGGTGCCGCACTTGTGCAGACACGGGGTAAGTCCTACACCTTAAAGCCTCCTCAAAGCCTACACTTACCACCCTATAACTTATAACCCTAAAGCCAAAACCCTAAGCCCTGAACCCTAACCCCTCAAAGCCTGAACTCCAAGCTTAGAGGAGTGCTACACCACCTTCGTGCTGCCCAAGGGAAAGCCGTCCTGTGGCCTGGTATTTGGGCCGCTGAAAAGTAAGATCCAGGGCTTTGGGTTTGGATTTAGGTTTTAGGGTCCAGGGTTCAGGGGTAAAGCTGGGATCACACTATGTTCCAGGACCCTCCCAGTACCCCTAAATTGGCATGTCAGGGCACTTAAGTGAGGTTAATGGGAGGGTTTAGGATATTGGTGTTTCTTGGGTTCGGGTTCCAATTTAGTTGCAGCTTGAGACGAATCTATTCTGGATTCACGAAATGTTAGCGCTTCTTCAAGACTGTAGGATCGCATGAAGGTCAGAGAATGGTTGGGATGCTCGCAATCAGGGGAATTGCAAAATGGTGGGCCCGATTTTTTGGATTATGGGTTGTTTATATTCATGTTTGCCTACGACGTTGGTGAACAGTATGAAGAGGATTCAAAGCGCCATTGCTGCATTCTTAGGACTGCGCACGCCAGGGTGAATAGCCATGCACTACGAGACAAATGAGACCACCCTCAATGCACATATGAATGCGGAGGAACAGCAAACCCAAATCCCTAATTTCGGGGAAGCTCCTATTTTCAAATGGTCCAGGTATGGATGCATGGCCTCGGGGATGATGAGTCTGGCTGGGCTGACGCTTGCCTGATGCGTTCACATGAACTATAGTCTATATAGTCTAAAGTCCTTAATAGGGGGATTATATAGGTGTGCCACTATAGGGATGATTAGGCTGACCCTTCAAACTTTATTCCAAACCTACATCTGAAAACCCCCACCTCTCGCCCTAAAAACCGTAAACCTCAAGCTTCGAACCCTGAACCGCAACCCATGAGTGAGGACGCATTGGAAGAGACCTTCGACGTGAAGGGCTTACGAGGGGCTTCTTGCCGATTCCTTTTGCCGCGTGCCCCGCGACAACGATCCCAGGCCTTGCAAGAAGCAAGTTTCCCGAATTTAAGGTTTCCCAAATTTAGGCGCACCTTTGTAAAGGCGCATGGCTTACATAGGGTATCATAGGGTTATATTAGGGTATATAAAGATGCAATTATAGGGTTTAAGGATTAATTAGGGGTTTCCCATAACTAGGGGTACCATGGCCGCCATAATAAGGACGTTATACGGTTTATATGGAGGGATGGGGCTGGGGCCCCTGTTTTGAGAAACTATGAGGAGCAGAGTGCAGGGCATGTAGTTCATGCTCAAGTGCTGGAGCCCAGGAGTTACATGCAATGGCGGCTCAGTGATGACGAGCTGGTTTGATTTCCAGAAGCTGCCTCTTTCCGCCGACGACGCCGCGAAATTTGGCGGGGCTTTGCCACAACAATTAGGTTGACCGTGTCCTTATCCAAATGTTGGCAAGCCTATGCAGAATTTGCAGTGTATGGCTGTAGTGTCAGGTAACCCTTCCCATAAACCTTCCCACTCCTTAGATGAAGTTTCCCTCCTCATTGAAATGGTACTACATTGGCAGGGCTATCATTAGGGAGTCGAGGGATTTGTAGTTAGTAGCCCTCAACCCTAAACTCAGCTGGTTGATGCGCCGCCAGCTTCGTGCAAGTCGCAGAATCATGTAGTAATTCCAATATACGCTTCCCTTGATCCCCTTATGTATAATCCTATTCCTAAATTTTAAATGACCATAAATAGCTGTGGATTCCGCTTCATTCTCCATGTGCTTCTTCATTGATTCTCCGTTATTGGGCGTAATATCCTTAAACCCTAAGCCCCAAATCTTAACCCATACATACAGGCCCTATGTGTACCGGGAGCAATTTTGCCCTGAGGTTGCTCCTTGGAGGAAGCCGTGGCGTCGTGTGGTCGAGTCCATGCCGCGATCGACACGCTCATCGCTGACCTTTGGTCCCAGAATTTAGGGTTTCGGGTGTAGTGTCTAGAGTTCAGGGTAAGACTTTAGGGTCGAGGGGCCGATGTTTGGTCCCAGCAAGGGGTACTCAAAAGGTGGGATTGAGGTGGGTGGGTCCCATTCTAGATTCCATTGGGGCCTATTTCCTATACCCGCATTCTGCAAGAAAAGGCCCTAAACTTCTGGAACCTCCCACATAGCTCTTGCAAAGCCAACGGGCACAAACTCTTTAAATCTACTGCAGGAGCCGAAAATAGATTACCAATATTTTGGTCTTGGCTTCCTTGCATAAATCAAATATAGTATACTGAAAAGAGACTTCATTGATATTTGTAATCAGGTCCTATGTTCCATAATCCTTGCCAGGGCCTATAAACCGTGTTCCAGCTCATGTTAAACTGTATTGTCCATTTGACTTTCCAGTATTGAGTTTAAGCTATATCCCACAATCCCTATACAATCCTAAACCATCCCCATATAGCTTGACCTTCCGCACACTATGCCCAGGAAGGCATTCCAGCCGAGCGGATCGCGGTTGGTGGGTTTTCGCAAGGTGGTTCTATGGCTGCTTGGAGACACTGAGGATCTAAATGTCTGAAATTTCCGGGTTCACCGGTTCTAGTCCAAAGCAAAGACAGAAGAAAAACAAAGCACTTGAGGATGTAGTGTCCTGCTATTTTCAGTACGCAGCGCGCGGTGCGAATGTATATGTATATATATATATATATGCGTATACATAT